GAGTTCGCAAATACTACCAGTTCCGCTGGTTAATGCCTCGCCATCATCTGCATGATGAGAAGTCGCGTCTGTCGTACCTCGCCCGTCACACGCCCTGCAAAACCTAACTTGCCTGTGATCTGCATTAAACTTGCTATCCACCCTTTCAATCCTTCGCAAAACAATGTCAAATCCAAACACCGCCGGAGGATGAGATTATTCGCCAAAATGCGTTTGGGAAACATTGGGCTGATATGGCAGCAGATAGTAAACGCACGAATACACCCTCATCCTGATTCGCTGTTTTTTCACAACGCGGACTGATGTGGGGAACAGAAGGGGAATCGATGCGATCCCCAAGACATATCCAATATAATTAAGACAGAGCTTAGCAGAAAATATCAGTGGGTTGGTCTCAACGAGATCTCACGATCGGTGCTAGACTTTATGTTTGTAGATCAATAATTGACCCAATTATGTCAAGTCAAAGGACAAATGTTCCAGAAAATCGCACTGCTCAATTTTACAGAAGCGTACATACGAAACCATGTCTTGTGGTAACATAAAACCTAAGCAGTTGTGTTTCTTGTTCAATACTGGGCACAATGGTATGCGTTCTTAAATGTCTTGAACATATAGTTTTGGGGCGCGGCGTCGTTAATGACACATTAGAAACCACCGCTGCTCCAAAAGCAGAAAAGATTGGAACGCGTTTTTGCTGTCAAAACCGGCCCCAAATACCCCTTACAGACTATGAAAATTTGGGCGCCATTGCACAACGCTCCGGAGAAGTGCCCTCTCAAAAAGCTTAAGGAGATCGCACCACCCCTTTCCCCCTATCAAGACAAGGGTTAACCTCGCTTTTGATGCATTCATGATCGGGTCACTCCCCCCCCCCCCCCCCCTCCTCCCCGCAGTGCCACCGTCGCTACCGAACAAACGGCTTCGACCGATGTGGAGAGATGACCTTCCCTCCTCGTCGTCCCCAGCGAAAGGCTTGATATTTCTTGTGAGCTATGCAATATAATTTAGACCAGCCATTGATACCAAGCAACGTGATTTCAGGAACTTCGGTGGCCTCTAGCTGAACAATCAGATCCGTATAATCGACCTGGCACATCAAAGCCTCAGATCCAGCTCTTTTACAAAGAAGACAGGAGTTTCCTTGAAGCGCCCGGAAGGTGCAGACTATTGCTCAGAAACGATAGATTGAATGCCAGGCCCTTTCCATCCAAGGCTGATACGGGTGCTACCGACCAGTATAACTGCTTCAAAGTTGCTTGTTTGCGTTTGCTGGTTGAAGGACCTCCAGGAAACAAACATTAATGGTCAGCCGGAATGCAGTGATATTGGCGCTGCGTCACATAAAGTCGAATCATTTGGCCCGGCGAAATGATTGCTATTCAAAAACGAGAGAGATAAAAGGATGCTTTGCACGTGCTTAGGAACCCAGGTTTTTCACGCATGGTGCTAGTTCAGAAAACAACCCCATGCAATATTTGTCAGAACTTTCATGTGAAGCAGGCGTGTTTCCAATATTTCGAGCATGCTGCGTCCAAACGCGTAGGCGGAGTGCGACACAAGAGACACCATCTGGTGCACCGGGTCGCTGGAAAGACTAATGCCGGTTTTCAACCGATCGGTGGCACTTGGCACGAAATGCGTGCCATCGGCCGAACCTCTGCAGACTTCGGAACTTAGAACTGTACCCGAACCAAAGTGTTCCGGACCAGTGATAGTGCGCCGTGCGTGCTAACTTTTACATTCAATTTCCTTGCAACTCAACTGTAGAGGCTCAGCTGGCGCGGCCTCATGCGTTTATGGGTCTGAACGTGGACGGCTCTTGTGATCGGTGGCTTGATGATTGGTGCCTTGATGATCAGCGGTTTGGTGTTTGGTGGATGTATCGGTGGTTTGCTGAATGGTGGCTTGATAATTAGTGGCTTGATAATTGGTGGCTTGATAATCGGTGGTCTAATAAATGGTGCCTCGTTGATTGGTGGCTTTACGATTGGTTGTTTGATGATTACTGGCGTGAGGATCGGTGGCTTGATGATTGGTGACTGGGCGATGGGTGACTTTGTGATCGTTGATAGATCGCTGGCCATTCCATTCGAGGGTCGTTATTAATTATCTTTTTGCCGGTAGTTTCGCTCGCATTTTGCGCTTAGGCGACCTACCTACGTTTGAAGAACAATGCAGCCTATACAACTGTTCAGGATCCAGTTACTCTACCATTCTTTGCTGCCAGTATGATCAGACAAAATTAAGTAATGTCAGGACATCCAAGGCCGAGTTTGTTGAGATAAGCTAAATGATGAAATCATGGCAGACAAATATTTCCCTTCATATATTCTTATTTTGTTCCACTGTCAGCAACGATAACCCATATTAAATATAGTTCGATAAACGTTAGCCAGTAAACATCGCTGCTGGGTGCGCTTAATTCGTTGTCACATCATGATTAGTTGTCAAATACACGGCCTGAGTCTGTGAACGGAAATATTGACATAAGTGGTTTTACTTAACGTACCGCAAATGTGTGTGGTCGCGATTATTTGCGGTTACAGGTTGCGCGATCACTGGCATTTGTGGTCGCAGGCTGTGTGATCACAGGTATTTGTGGTCGCAGGTTGTGTGATCACAGGTATTTGTGGTCGCAGGTTGTGTGATCACAGGTATTTAAGGTCGCAGGTTGCGTAATCACAGGTGTTTGTAGTTGCACGTTGTGCAGTCACAGGCATTTGTGGTCGCGGGCTGTGTAGCCACAGTCATTTGTGGTCGCATGTTGTGTGGTCACAGGTGTTTGTGGTCGCGGGTTGTGTGATCACAGGTGTTTGTAGTTGCAGGTTGTGTAGTCACAGGCAATTGTGGTCGCGGGCTGTGTAACCTTGGTCATTTGTGGTCGCACGTTGTGCGGTCGCAGGTGTTTGTGGTCGCACGTTGTGTGGTCACAGGTGTTAGTGCTAAGCTTGCGTATGATGTGGGCAGGCAGTGGGGGACAGAGGTGGGAATCTTTGAATTCTTCATGTATCAAAAGTAAGACAACTATAAACATAAAATTCAGAGGGTTCGTAAGAAACCATATGGCCTCGTTTACGCCAATTTCTTAGGTAGGAGCAGATTGAGACTTTCGAATAAAGTAGGGTCAAACCAGAACGAGCTTGACATCAGTGTCCAAAGTGCACTTATACCATCTGACACAACCAGTTTGAACGTAAAAAAGTCGCTAGTGTTAAGATCAGGTCAGCGACCTTCTTTGACCTTGAGAACTGTCAAACGGACCAAGGGCCTTCGAGTTCATTCAGACACTTTAATCTAAAATCAGCGTCTGGAACTTCCGTGGGCGGCATGATTTTCAAAACAAAAGCTTGTTCGCTTTAACTGCAGATCCGTGACTATACTGCTCGGTATGAACTCAAAATACGAGAACAGTTAACGTCCCTGTTATCAAGCGATTAGAGATGAACGCCAAAACGATCTAGCAAATCAAGCTTTCTAAAAAAACATATGGTTGGCTTTGAACTTCCATCACACCTGAGCACAGGTGAGCTGAACTTGTTGTAATCCCACGTTCGTGGGATTAGTTTATTTGACCAACATAAGTGAGCTCATTTGTCCAACTGTCGCAGAAACCATCTCAAAATTATATTACCTTGTATAACGCCCCCTTGTTCCTCAGTTTGGAGGTTACCTTACGAATTGCCTTTGCCGACAACCACGGCCTGACTTTGGTCACCTGCTTTAGGTCAGCGCGAAAGTCTAGTTTTGGTTAACCAAAAGATCAACTTTTCGATTCTCTATAGCCACACGTCATTTGACCTTTCTGAGCCGCACCGTTGGGGGTTATTCTGGACAAACCCAAGAGGAGCTTAAATTGCGCCTGCCCACAAAAGCGAGTGTCAAAAAATGCCGTCCCCGGCGAGGGTAAACCGGGGAGGCGGGGAACTCTAAAACCGCCTCGTCCGGCGACGGCGATAGGGCGAAACACTTACCCAGCGAGGGAAAGGCTTAAACAGACCGGCCTCGTCTCAATTCTCACAGAACCAAGGTCGTTAACAAGCAACGAACATTGATACATGCGCCCATCTAAGTTGGGACTTCGAAGCTCCAGTTTTCATTCAGTGACATCCTACGGATGCGTTTAAATTTTAAACACCAAGGCTGTGCCGAAATGCTTTCATTCCGACTGGTGGTCCAACTTAAGAGCCACGTGGATGGCAACGGCTGACGAATACAAGTTTGCAGTTGAAATATCATTCAAGATTATGCAAGGCGCAATGCTACTAGCGTATGACGTTTGACAAATGCGTAATGCCACCAGATCTGACAAAGAGCAGTCAGATATCTGAGAGGCGGAAGTCTGCAGAGAGCAAGCACTCTATCACGAGGATATTGTTCGCTTGTGGATCTAAGACTTTCTGAAAGTTTTGTCGTTTCCGGGTTTCCTTCCTTGTTCTACTCACAAAGCCCAGCATTTTAGTTCGGCTGAGTTGGGCAGTGGTCAGTTCGGTTAAAATCCGAGGGACGTGAGCTGAATTGGTCTAAGGGGTACCTTACCGCAATCAACGTGATGAGAAAAAAGAGTAGAACAACTCCACGTCTTCAAGAAACGCAACAGTGATGACCTTGCACGAAACGACAACCATGCACTGCCGTCAATTCCAGAGGTTTCCCTAGATTCTAAACCTCACCTCCGAGATAAAGCAAAGTTAGTTGTTTACCTGGCGTTTTAAGAGAAATTCCTACGTATCGATTCAGTACCTTGAGCACCCTTGGGCAGAACCAGCAAACTAAGTTTTTTTTTAAGCAAGCATAGTTCCTTTTTGCGTCGTTACCATGGTCAACAATTTTCTGTGTTGTTCACTACCTCACCGATTCTATTTCAGAGACGAATAAACAGCAACGGGTCTTCAAGCAATTGAATGGCTTAAAACAAATTATAAACGTTAATTCGACCGGTCCGCTTGAATCGGCTTCAACCAATCCGTTTGAACCAGTTTTAACCGGTTTCGGCTCACCGGTCAATTGAGATGGCGACGAGGGTGAAGACGGACGCCGAGACGCTCAGAACGCTAACGAACTGCACGATCTTGCAGTAGGCTTCACCGAACGGCCAGTGACTGTTCAGGAAGTAGACGAAGTTGAAGGTGATGTTCATGGTGGACATCATGCAGTCGGAGACCGCCAGGTTCACCAAAAAGAAGTTGGTGATAGTTCGCATCTGTTGATGAAACAGACGGGCAGGTCATCACACACCTGGCGACGGAACAGACGGGTGGGTCATCGAATATCTGGTGACGGCAGATGGCTATCATACGCCTGATGATAGAGCAGGCACATACGTCGAACCACTGGCGGGCATTCGGAGGGGCATATGTTCGCAATTTAGCACATTTCTGGCGGCAGAGCACACCCACCCACGCACCCCCCCCCCACACACACGCACACGCACGTACGCACGCACGCACCACGCACGCGCATACACACACACACACACACCACACACACACACACACACACACACACACACACACACACCACACACACCCACACACACACACACACCACACACACGCGCGCGCGCACACATGCTCACGAGTAACAGACACACCGGCCGGCCACCCTTGACGGCTGAGCGGACGCGAGAGTCGAACTGTCGTCGCAGGTCTGGTGGGGAATATGCAACGGTTATTCACGCCTTGGTGACATAATACCCTGACGAGTCATGTGGTGCATTCTGTCGCCGGAATATTATCACGCTTAATGTGGAGAACAAGCTAACGGACCAATTCGTCGTCGTGCATCTCACAAAAGAGCAGACGTGAGCCTTATCTCGCGTGTGATGACCAAATGGACGCATGAATCAGGTGGTAACAAATACACCTTTAAAAACTTGGATATCATGGGCTTGTCTTGGTTCATGGTTGGTCTTCAACCAGACTCGTGCAGTTCGTGTTGGGATGCTGAATAGGTGCAACGTAGAAGACATGTTAAGCCAAGATGAAGCTCGGTATCGATGCTCTAGACTGCTACTGAACAGTTTTTTTTTATCTCAGTCATTGTCGGTTGGCTGCGAGGACTTTTGAATTGGGATGCTTTCGCCGAAAGTTTGCGGTGCATTTCAGCGAGAGCTTCAAAAGACATTTTGCCCTTGCAGAAAATCTGGCTTGCCAAAAGTGAGGCGTGCTGCTTTGCCCTGCCTACATGAATTTAATTTGTCAGGATCTTAATTTCAAACTTCAGCACTAATCCGCCAGGTTTTGTTAGCATGTTTTGTCATCTGGAGACATTTTCATTACGGGTTCAGCACATCAAAAGACTTCGGCTTCGCCCCAGGGTATGCTTTGAAGCCCCCCAAAACAATCTACAGACACAAGCAGACTGCCTTCGCCTCATCGAAAACAGCAAGCGAAACACAACACTGTTTTTCCAATGCTACTGACGAGCGAAAAATGTCACACCCGTGACAGCTCTTCCTCGTTTATCATCATCGAATGCGTAAACAGTGTTGTTGGTGTACTGCTGTGTGTCAGTTACGACTACCCATTTCAAATGTCTTGAATAAGTTCTCACGCGTAAATTCCGGGAATATATCCCAGCAACGGAATCGGAGCCCTGGATTTAAATCTTCCTGGGTCCAGGATCCTCAGGATCCAGGACCTTTTTTGTTATTTTAGCCCATTGCTGGGATCTGGGATCCCAGCATAATTTTTCCCACGGATTCCTCAGAATCCAGGCCTTTTAGGGACGCCAGGCACAGGTCTGTAACGGCCAGGCACAGGTCTGTAGCGGTCAGGTCAATAGCCCTCAGTTACCTGATCTCTGTTGCAACATAATACCGACGTTAGTAAGATCTGCACCATTTTATGCATTACTTCAAATGTCTTCATTGGCGCTAATCTACTGACGAGAAGACGCGAGTACCCATTGCTCAGAAACGGTAGAGCGAACGCTGTGCAGAATCACATAGCAACACATATGAAACCAGAAAGAATGCTGGGAACAGATGATGTTGCAGGGTACAAACACAAAATAAAGAGAAATGATGGAAAGGGGCACCCGAATAACGCAAATATAGCAAAAATAGTCAATCCGGTGAACGTAATTGAGTACAGCATGTGAACAAGATTACTCTGCTATGTATGACAAAACCATTGAAACATCGTCACAAAAATCCCCCCAAACAAACATTTTTCGGTCCCGGCTGAAGGAAAACTGCGAAGGGAGAACACGCTGCAAGGTATCACCCCTCCAACTGCCACCCATTTGATCATTCCTCCACGACTGGCCTCAGCACTGGACTGCTTGCGAACAAACGGCCAACTGACGTAGTGACTTGCGTTGCCTTCGGAACTCATCCCGACAAACATGACAGGGTGGAATAAGAACAAATAACTGCAGGTTGAATGGGGTGCACGTTAGTACACGCTGGTCACGACTAAGAGCAGTGCGCGTTCCAGGGAATGCCGAGACGACGGAGAGGAGAGAGTGAAGTCACTGACGCTCTAACATGGACATTTGGCCCAGGCCATGATGTCACATTTCGCGTTTGCACAACTGTTGTACGGCACAAACGAAACACTGTGCGTGGAAATGAAAGCAGCATAGTGGTGTCTTCTGAAGCCTTGTGGTGTAAAAAGGCAGTTGTACCGCGCCATTAGCTCCATCTCGCAATCAGCTCTACCCTGCAATTAGCTCGACCTCGCCATCAGCTCCACCCCGCAATCAGCTCCACCTCGCCATTAGCTCCACCCCGCAACCAGCTCCACCCCGCAATCAGATCCACCTCGCCATAGGCTTCACCTCGCCACCTCGCGGCACTGAGTGAGGCTCCAGCACAATATTTACGAATAGGTGTCGCTGTGTGCTCACTAGTCTGCCCCTGGAAAGAATGCACCGCATGCCGGCGAATGTGAACCGTTAACGACCTGAGTATGTTACAATTTCCATTTTGTAAATGGGGACGTGACTTGAGAGGTGTTGTGAGCCTGGTATGGGGTGTAGCGTACCGTCGGCAAGTGTAGGGTGTAATATAGATATGCTCTGTCATGACATGTCTCTTGGATATATCTATCTTATAGCATAAAGAAACTATATCATCATAAGCACTGCATCATGCAGTCATAATAGATTTCCTAACAGGTAGCTAATTATCCTCTCTGTTAGCTTAGTGGGTCAGAGCGTCTGCGTTTCGGCCCACGCACCCGTCACAGAGAGGCTTCGTGTCGTTTAGGCGCTCGCTTTCGGCTCGTGACAAGGACGGCGGCAGTGGCACCAGCTGCGCTAAAGTCATGGTTCACACAACAGGCCCTGCTTGGTGTTAGATTCGATCCCAGGAATCAGTCCACTCAAAATGTTCCGATCACATCACAAAAACATTGCCCGCTTCACCTCGCCACCTCGCGGACTACGTGCATGGATAATATCGCATTTAGAACTTTCCCATTCATCGATCCATTGATCAACAATTTTGGAGGATGGAAAATGCCGAAAAAAGAAGAACAAAAGACACGTGAACAAAAGGCGACGGCAAAAAACTATTTCCATTACTGAATCTTGTGCTCTTTAGCCTGAGCGGTATGCTGCAGGCACAAACCTTTCAAACTTTTTCGAGAACAAAGGCTGCATAAGTTTTGTCAAATTTGCTCAAGACCCAAGCCATAATTTTATCAACGAATCCTCCCGGATCCAGGATCTTTTGGGAGATCCAGGCACGTGCCTGGTTCAGACAACATCGATATCCTGTGAGGGCGTGCTGGGGTCCATCACCAGCACAATCCAGGCGTGACATTCCCGGGTCAGACTCCTACCGCTCCGGACCGACTCAATCAGCATGAAAGTCATCCGCTTCAACGCTCGCCAAAGCTCACCGGTGAGTTTCTGAGTTTCCAGCTCGGAAGCTTCCAAATCTTCCGGCTCATTTTGGGGAAGGAAAGAGGTCAGATGAGAGAGGACTGACGATGGAACAGAGCCGCGTGGGGGGGGGGGGGGGGAGGGGCCGGAGAGGGTGTGGGGAGGATGGGACCAAGGGGAGGAGACGGATCAACGGGGATGGTGTCATGGGAGAGACAATGGGCCACAAGGGATGGGGATGTGGGAGTGGAAAAGACCAGGTAGGTAGAGTTCACCAAGGGAATGTGGTCAGACGAGGGGACTGGGCAATCAGATTACATGACACAAAATGATACGGTTAATGACCGTATGAGAAAAGGACGCAAACAAGACATTGCATGAGACAGAAAATGTTAGCAGAAAAGGAATCACATGGGAGAAAGGATCGCACGGAAAGGCATTCAAAGCAAAAAATACGAAATACGAATTTCGATCATACGAAAAAGGTGCTGGGTGAAGATTGTACGGAGCATCGTTCGGCAGGAAAACGATTGCTCGTAATGCAAGTATTCGCAGGTGTGCGACCGGCTGTAAAGAAATATCGTATGAATAAACAGCGTCTGGAGAAAGACTGCCAGTGACGCCGATGACATCGTGAAAAGCCGTGTGCTAACTGGCATGCCCAGCCGTTAGCTTGTGGTTGCACGTGACAGTATCATCTGAAAAATGGCGTGGTTATAAGGTGAAAAATTACACCTTAGAATGATGGCTTAAAGAAACGGAGGTATGAACACTGTCAACACCAAGTTGAGCAACGGTGCCCGAAAATCTTGGAAAGATACACTGGTGACGCTGCATCTTTGGATACTCAGCCCTGGAAGCTTGAGATCTCGCTTTACCCATCCCCACACACGTCCCCATTCAGCGCTCCGTTTTTACGCAACCTTGCCCCCTCAATTAACGCAAGTTAAGCCCCTGGGGCATCGGAATTTACACGGCTGATCTTGCCGTTCAAAAGGTGATGTTGACCACCGGGGCGGGGACTCCATTTGAACATGAACAGTTTCAACGTGTTCCACGACGCGCTCGGGAGAGGAATAATAAGATAAAGCCACCAAACTTTGTAACGCGGCGCATTCGCTGGATATAAACCATATGTTGCAAATCACAAATGGATTAAACGCCGTTATTGAGAATTTGTTTCGCACCCGCCTGTAGAGCCTCGGTGGCATCGCATGGCTCTCACCCTGGCAGGAAGGACGGGCATCGCGGGGGCGAACCCGTGCTTCGGGTCCCTCCGACGCGGAGCTTAAACACTACGCCTCCGGCACCACCCACAGAAATGGTCTAACCACCAGTACACGTATTGTGTAATGCACATGCACTCTT